CGGTTTGAAATCTCCTGCAATACCTATTTTTAATTTGTAAAAAATATCAATAATTTCATTTAAAAAATCAATATTTTCGTTATATACGTCTTCATATTTTGTACCAAGAACTAATGCGCAATATCTGGATGTTACAAGAGAAAACCATTTCGATACAATTTTTACAAACCAAGCGGTAATCATATACTCTGGTTTATTATTCTCATCTGCTAACAACAGAAAAGAGCTACTAACGTCATTACAAAAAACATGTTTGGCTTTATTGACTTTCATTTTGTTAAAATTATTGCATCTAATATCATCAGCTTGTAATTTAGGTGTTAAAAAAAGCTCAGAATTACTTTGAATATTTATCAGTTCATCAAAATGTTGTAATTCAATTTTATTGGAAGGTAAATTATATTTTATTACAACATCATTAGAAACAATTATCGTTCCATTACTAACGCTTGTTTCAGATTTTTCAAAATATGTGGTAGGTCGCCAATAATATATAACAAACGTTTTCCATCAAAGGGATATGTAATACAATTACTTATTGTACTAAACCTTTCTGTACTTATACCTAATAGTTTCCACGGTCCGACATTTCCAGGACCCATGTCTGAGGTGAGAAAGTTAACATGAAAACCCATTTGTTCTGTTTTAGTAATTATCTGAAAGATAATACGTTTCAAAGTTGCAGAAGAGAAACTGTTACCAGTAAAATGGTGTCCCACCACATGCTTCCACCTATTATTTATACCGACAAGCATAAACACGAGAGCTTTTGTTGCTATACCTTTTTCGTTGGGAAACGTGATGTTTCCCACTATTGATCCTGTTGATGAGTTATAAAAATTTTTGAGTGTGATTGCCATTTCGTCAAACACCAAGCCACATTCTAAATCAGCTTCTTTTTCAAGACATTTTATGTGACCAAAAATTCAAACATTTTGTTCGAAATTCCTGGCTCAAATTTGAAATCTTCTAATTAGCGTCCGTAAACTTGGAAATGGGTATCCTTGTTGAATAAGTTTATTATAGCCGTTAGATCCGCAAACAAATATAAGTTGTAGAGCACGTTGAATAGTTTTATGGGACCAATTTCGACATCGCTTTTTTTTCATTAAAGTCTGAATTTGATCTTCATTAAAAATTGATAATACAGCTCTTTTGTACTTATCGTTTTTTATAATAATTTGTAATGTCTGTATTTTGTTTCTCAGACCTTTCATTTTCCTTCTCATATTTATAATTTGTAAATATTGTTTATTTATAATTTCTGTTTTTTTACATTGCTTATTTTTTCTTACATTTTTATCCGTACTATGTAAAGACTCAGAAGTTGATGTCTGAAGAAAATATTGTCATATAAATATGTTGAACTTCTCTGTCATAGCGTTATTGTTTTTACACATACACGGAGAAGATTTAACTAGAATAATTAACATTGTACTAATATATGGACAACTATAAATATTTGCGTTGATACTTTCAATTTCATAGCAAGCAAATTTTCTTCTTGCAGCAAACTGAAAGTCTACGAAGCAAATATTTTTTGTTCTCCATATATTAACAAAATTTTAGTTCCACCTATCTTTTCCTCTGTGTAATACTTACTTCACATCGTACATCTTCATTGTTATTATGAAGCAATTTATTAGAAATATCTAGCATGTCACCATTAGCGTCATGATCTGGCACGTCACTATCTGGCACATCACAATTTACATCATATTTTGCCAATGAAGAGTTTGAGGTATTCATAATTATCTGAAAAAAATTTTACGTCATACAAATACATCAAACTTTTCTTTTCTAGCATTACTGTTTTAATACTTAATATTTACTTCATATGCCACATCTTGACTTTTATTATTAATTAATTGATTGTTAGAAATATTATGTGGCACGTCATCATTAATGTCAATTTCTTCAAACATTGAAGATTCTGAAGTATTCATGTTTATCTGAAAAGAAGTTTTATGTTATACAAATGCATTATTGTGGTATTATTGTTTCCAGACTTACTTCACATTCTATATCTTGACGTTCATTGTTCTTAATCAATACATTATTAGAAACATTGTTATTCACCACGTTTGTCTTTTTAAGAAAAAAACCAAATATAGTAGGAATTGCATCTTTTTTCAATTTTTTTTTTCCATCTAATCTTTGTTGCCACATATCAGATGCAAAATGTATCTGTATAAAAACAGAGAAACCATATGTAATCCCAATTGTTATATAATTATTCTTATTAAAAATATACAACATTAAACATCAAAATTATTATAGTAATTTAACATTTTTCACATTTTCAAATTGTAAACAAAATGAAATAAAAAATAAAATATTATATACAATATATAAGTTACCTACAGTAAGAAAAATAAATATATCAATTAAAGAAAAAATATTCATATCATAATCATTTTTCATTACATTAATAATATATTCATAATTTTGTTATAAATTTGTAAGAAATATAAAACTTAACCTCACAAAGAAATGAATTATTTGTAGGCGTCCAATTTTTCCGGCCAACATTTTTCGCCCATATCGCTCGACGTTCAGAATTTCTAGGGAATATCTTCATGATATATCCTTTCGATGATGAATTGTTGCAAAATTCTGCACAACATCCACCCATTTTTGCGGAATATTATTTCAGCACGTCGTTGCACCGCTTAACCCACACTATATACACATCATGTATAGAGCCACACATATACACACACTATTCGCGGAAGAGCGAGATAGCCTATACTATTCTCTC